TGAGTGAAATAGCTTGGGACTGCTTGGGACCGTTGTTCTGGTACTGAGTGAGCCAAAAATAATAATGATTTTCTTCGGGACCCAGTGGTCTTAGAGTTACCTCTATGCTACTACTAGATTGAACTAGCATTTTCACCAAATGTACTAGAATGTTTTGGTTCTATCTCTTTCACTCTACTCAAAACTGAAATGCATAAAAAAAAGACAAAATGATACGCACTCTTTGCACACTGTCAAAGAATCATTGCACACAAAATCAACTTTGTTCAAATCAAAACAAAAAAACTAACCCATCTGGTGGATGATGGCACAAGCTTCCAAGAAAATTCTATTACAGTGAACCACATTATTTAAATGGATTTCTTCGCCAGTTAGTCGTCTGTCACTTCGTTTGTGCTTACGGTAAGTAATTTAAAAACATGTAATTTAAATTAAATATTTCTAACATTTATCTTCCGACGACACAGCAGCTCATAATAAATTAGAAGAGAACGTGGTAAGAAGCAAAATAAAAGATATATTTGATTTCTATTTTGGTGTGTTGATTTCATTCAAGTTTTCTTTTTAGACTGAATAGCATTCCCTCCAACGGTTAAACGAACCATTTGTGAACTTTCAAGTTCTCTTTAAAAGTGAAACAGCATTCGCTTAGAAGCTTAAACATCGAATGTGAACTTGAAAGTTCGGTTAATTACTTAAAAAGTAAGCTGAACAGAATTCTATTCATAATCCTGCGATTAGCTGATTAAGCCAGAAAAGGGCTTTTATCCGAACTTTTGGTTGCTTGGGGACACCTCGCTCTCTGCTTGGCTATGGTATGCGAGCGTTGGGATGCACTTCACAACAATTAAAGCCGTAGCCACCACCGAATGGTTGAGTTCACAAAATGTTTGCCAACGTGAGAGGAAGTAGGTGAAAATCTTTTCCGTCTTCTCATGACTTGCAGGATTAATAAAGTGGTAAAAAGGCAAGCGGTAAAAATTGGTGCATTGATGATCAAATGGGATCAAACCAACTAAAGCACAGTCAGTGTTGGGAAAATATCAAAAAAATCAAATTTCACCAAAGAACGAGATCACGCTTGGTTTTCGTAGACAAAAAAAAAAAAACAAACAACTGCGGGTGATATTGGCAAATCAAAGCTGGCCCTCGTGGAGAATAGAAGAACTATGAGTGTGATGATGGTTTCAAAATTTTACACGTTGAGGTATACGAGTGCAATCTTAAAATGATTTTATGTTGCAAATGAAGCATTTCATTTTAATCTGGTTAATACATCCCGGTGCCGCTCCAAAAGTAAGTTAGTTGTACCCAAAATTAGATAAATCAGTGCCAACATTTCAAAGGGGCGTAATTGCATTTGTAAACAATGGCTTTGGTCGTCGATTTCTCGCGAATGAAAGCTCACTCATGAAAATGAATAACATCAGCACGTAGAGGAATGTTTCCTGTATCAGCTAGCATTTGTAATTTGGAGGGATGGGTTTTCATTTGCGAGAAATCGACGTCTAAAGCCATTGTTTACAAAAGCAATTACGCCCCTTTGAAATGTTGGCACTGAAATATAATTATACCGAAGACAACAAATCAAGAAGACTGGCAACTTTGCCAGTATCCAAGCTACAGATACAGTAGCGCTGCGATGGGCTGATGGGCCCAATCTTATGCCTTGTTCAGACTGGAGAGTTATAACATGTTATAACGGTTGTCAAATAATTGCAACACAGAAATAACTATCAAGATAGCTCTATAACATGTTATAACTCTGTAGTCTGAACGTACTATTAGATCCATAGGCCATCATTAGAGCCATTTCCCCTACATAAGTTTAAAACTTTATCACACAAACGTTCACGTTAAGGGAGTAGTCCCCTCTGGCGGCATGAAAAATAGGTCATTTTCACGAATTTTTTTTTTTTTAGGGTAAATAACGATCAATTAAAAAAAAAAGAATGCATGGTTTTGTCAATTGAAATGTCCTCTTTAAATGAGATTTGTTTTTGGCGCGATTGGATATCTCCTGTAGCCGCTGCACCGGGTTCCCCAGGAGACCTCCCGTCTGAGTCGTCGCGGGGCGGGACGACTGGCGGTCACACCACTGGAGCTGGAACAACGAATTTGTTTGTGGTTATTCTTTGATAGATGACCCAGTCTTGTACGTAGCCGTTTTTGATTTGGTTGAAAAATAAAAAGAAAAAAACAGTCCGTTTTTGTATCCTAAAATTGGAGATAAAAGCTTCCACCAAAAATCCATTTTTGATTCTTTTGAAAATCGGCTACGTACAAGACTAGAAAAAAAGGTACTTAACTCGAAAATTCAATCGCCGTTTAAATCGAATGAACCGTTTCTAAAATACAGCGCCCGCCAATTTTGAAAACATCGTTTAGAGATAATCGCGGCAGCAGTTGGAACTACTAAGACACGCCGTTTCGCCGGTAACGGGCGGGTACTCCGAGCGCTCACCTGAGCGCGCTTGGAGCGTCTGGACACGAGTCCACTGTCAAAGTCAAAGTAAACATTCCAAAGTATTTTTTAAGCCAAAAAAAAAGGATTTTTTGAAATTTCCAGAGTGGAATACCCCCTTAAGTTCCATAACCATTTCAGTTCAAGTTTAGCAGGGATTATAAACAACTTTGAACCATTTTTGGTAAGGTCAAGTAAGTAATGGTTCACATTTATGCGGGCATCCCTCCAAATTAACCATGCTAGCTGGTAATGGCAATATTCCTCTACCTGTTCGTGTCATTAATCTTCATGAGTAAGCTTTTATTCGTGAGAAATCGACGGCTAAGGCCATTGTTTACAAATGTAATTAGGCCCATTTGAAATGTTTGGCACTAAACTGTCCAATTTACTAAGTCTTCATAAAAATTGTTTATCGTTTATCGGTATTTTTTTATAATCCCGGCAGATTTATATTTTTGATTTCATATATGTAATTATGATTGAGATTTGGAAGTAAATAAAAGAAGTATACTCTAACATTATACACACTTAAACAGAGACCCTGAGTTTGGTAAAAAAAATTACCGTCTTAGATCGGTAATGCTAAAAATTACAGATGTTTCGGTATTTTCTCGCTTTATTGCTGAAAACTGTAAATGAAATGACCGAATTTCGGTAATTTCATTTTAATTTACCGAAAACGGTAACCATTTTTACCGGCAGGTCTGTAAATCAGCCTCATCACTGACTTCGGTGAAATATTTTACTGAATTTTCGGTAAACAAAGCGTTCCATTACTGAGTTCGGTAATGGTCTAGGTAAACGTCAAATCCACCATATTGTTATTTTGGAGGCGAACCAGCCCCAGGCTGAAAGCCTCCCTAATAAAGATAAATAAATTAATTAATTATTGTTATTTTCGATCGACTTTAAAAGCGTTCGTGCTTGTGAAATTATGGAAGCTGTTATTCAACACCAAAATGAGTGAATCGTATAGATATTTTCCGTAAATAATTAATTTTCGTTATCTAAATAAATACCGATTACAGATGGCCGATGTTGTTGCTTGTTTTTTCTGTCGGTCCAAGTTCCATTTCCGTTGGCGACGATCTGAAAACAGCATTTGGAATATTCTTCCAAAGCTTCCTTGTTTTCAGTGTAGCGCCGAATCCTTCCGACAAAAACTTGGTTTTGTTCATTGGTGGTGCAATTTGCAACACTAACTTATTGATCACAACAGCCAAATTTTTGCATGGGTTGCAGTGACCGCCACCATGAAACAATATTAAAGAAAATTACACTTGAGTCGGTTACCTTTTTAGAAAATTACAAATCTCTCGGTAATTTTCGATTTGCATATCGTCCTCAAAATTACAGTTCTCCGGTAAAGTCGACTACAAATCAAGCAATGCACATCGGTAAACGTTACCGATCGTTCGGTAAATTTGACAGCTAATTTTGCTGATCCAGTTTACAGATTTTTCGGTAATGTTCTCGATTACCGAAAACATTACCGACCGTTCAGCTGTTGAGAATTCGGTAAATGAATTACCGAAGTCGGTGATTTTTTCTAAGTACAATCAACATCAATACGAAACTAACGATTTTAAATTGGCTCACCACTTTAGTAGCCTATTGGTCCCAAGCAAACGATTAACGTACCCTATTCTAGTTGAAATTCTATTACTACACTATGTTTGTTTTGATTCGCTATGAACGTTTGACAGATAACATCAGGGGTGTGTGGATTCATGCAGGACATGCAGGGGTGAGTGAAATAGCTTGGGACTGCTTGGGACCGTTGTTCTGGTACTGAGTGAGCCAAAAATAATAATGATTTTCTTCGGGACCCAGTGGTCTTAGAGTTACCTCTATGGTACAATTATTGAGTACAATTTCACCCATTTTCAAGTAAAGCCAATGAATCCATTAAATGGGTAAAAATACCCATTGATGATGAACTTTTACCCACTAACGGGTAACATATACCCATTTATGGGTATTAGTTACCCATTAATGGGTATTTTTTTTTATCCAATGATTGGGTTAACATACTTTACCTCAAAATGGGTGAAATTGTACCCATTAAAGGGTTCTTTTCAGTTATACTGAGTATACAATTTGACAACAAGGTTTTTTTTTTTATAATTCAAGTTGATGGTTCCATTACAACTTTCAGAGTCGTCGATGCCATTCTAACAGTTATTTTACGTATTCTCCGCTAAACGAAAGTTTGGATTGTATCCGTCTTCGTCTTGACAGATATTTTAAGTATTTTCGGCAAAGTATGTTTATGTTTTAATTTAATTAAATGTCTCTTTCATCTGAGTAGAGCACCTCTCTCTCTCTCTCTCTGAGTAAGATTGAACTGCCGTGTTTCACGTAAGGTTTTGATCTCTGCTAAGTTGGGCTCAAGAATGTTGCATGCAACACACCTAGGAAGCATGACAGAATCCATCTCCTCCGAATTGACAGTTACACGATACCCAATCAAAAAAGAAAAACAAATCAGCTGCGATAAAAAAAATACGACAAAACGACAGCCAAGAGTGGAAGTGCAGTGAAAATTCGATTGGCAGCTGAAAAATCCAATTTTCCCGTGCAAAATGGTGTGAAATCGCGCGAAAACCCATCGAAATACGGAACTCATCACACGGAGCACAATTTCAGCTAGTCTTCAGTTGCCGAAAGTTGGGTATCGTCGCGGATAAAGTCGAAATTTGTTTGGGTGCGTCAGTTCTTCGGGGGAAAAACTTTTCCCTGTCATTTTCGTCGTCTGCTGCCTGTGGCTGTGGAAGAAGCTGATGGTGGAAGCATAATCTTGTTATTGTTCTTTTTGTTCCATCCCTTCGTCGTGGTCAGGCGCGCTCGGTATCCGTGTCTGTTTGCGTGGGTGGTTGCCGAATCAAAACAAAAACAGACTGTACGGTAGTGCATTGTGTCCGCGGCGGACGTGTGTTTGTTTTTTTTTTAGCGAATTTAATCGTGATGCTTCGCTAATTCTTGCGGGACGCGGTCGCGAAAAGCGGTTTCAATTGGATTCAATTTGATTCAATTACCTGCCACTGGGCGGGCTGGGCATATGCAAAGAAGAACGGGCAGACACACAGCGGCAAGCGAATTCGTTTTCGTTTGAGATTGAAAAATCGATATCACAGCGGAAGCGGACAATGTTTGGGCGAACGGAAACGAAAAAGGATAGTTTTTTGGAGCAAACCAAAGCCGCCCGGGAGGAACGTGCCAACGAGCGGGCCATGGAGGAGAAACGCGACAAATCGATCGTGCTGCTGCAGAAGAACATCCGCGGCTGGCTGGCGAGGACGAAATTTAGAAGGTTGATTTTGTAAGTAGCCCTGTAAGTAGCATTATGAAACGGAGACGATCAGGACTAATTTCTATTTCAGGGAAGAATTTGACACCCTCCTACCACCGGTGACGAATCCTACGATAGACATCGAACTGAAGCCTTGTCTTCAGGTATATCACGTTGCTTCGCATTTCCTTCTGCAATGGAAGTCGGATTCCACGGAGGAAACAACAAACAATGATCGCTTGGAGCGTCTTTGTCGCTATCTGACGGCTAGTCTCGAGTCCGATTCGCCGAAAACCAGCTACATCGGTGTTGCGTTAAACAAGGACTTCAGTCTTGCCTGGATCAGACACATCAAGAAGCTACTGTATCGCTGCTGCATGGCCATCGAGCAGCTTCGACCGGAAGCCCACAGCGATAGCATATCATTGGCCTTATATTTGCACACTTTGGTGGCATTCACCTCAACCAACAGCTGGGTGCTGCTGAGGAACAAATCCCTGGCCGGACTGAAACCGGGAATGCTACAACTGTGCAGCAATATCATGGGCGATTTAGTACAAAAAGGATTCTATCTGAATCTGCGAAACGTCCTGGTGAAGGGAACCTGTCGGACAGTTATAACAATCAAACCCATCTCCTTGACGGCCATAATGACGCTTGCCGTTCGTCCACTGATTTCCAGTAATTTCAGTGAAAACCTCATGTCCCAGTTCCTAGTGCAGATCCTCTCCGTTCCGGGCATTACCTTCCAGTTGGAACAATTCACCCCAGAGTGTCTTACCAATCTACAATCACACCATATCCTGGAGAAGTCGCTGGATCTCCTCAGCACCGGAGCCTCCATGAAGTTCGTGAAGAACACCCTTCAAAACTCGCATCTCCTGTCGCTCCTCTCCAACATCGTACACCTGTACTATCTGGAACCGCCGGAGGATGCCTCGAAACTTGCGTATCCAACGTTCACCTTCGTAGTGACTCAGCTTCTCAACGGAATCCTGCAAAGCGTTGGCCAATCGGCCGGAACGTTTACCCAGTGGCACGAACTGCTCGGCTGGTTTACCCCGGGTAAGCAACGATTGCAGAGCGAAAACCTTCCGCTCATCAAGAAGCAAATCCACCTCCTGTGGAATCATCGTATCGTCAAACTGCTTCTGGGGGGAAATCTTAAGGACCTGGCCGTGGGATACGAAACGATTGACTATGCCATCCCGAGTGGCAACAGCACCGGAAATCTGCTGAAGCGAGCGTTGACGTTCGAAAGGAGCTCCATCAAGAGCGGTGGCCAGGGAGAGAAGAAGACTAGCAAGTCTTTCCGGAAGATTGGCTCGGCGGAGATGTCCCGAGTGGCGCTGACCTGTGCAATGTACCATTCGGCGCTGAATGCGCTCTCGCAGCTGCGGTTGGATATTTTGTCCGGTAAGTGTCTCACAGTGGGCGTCGAAGGAATATCAAATCGTGGCATAAATTAAGCTACTCACGGTTGGATTACGGAAGCGTTGTGTCTTCAGTAAAGTTGATCCTTAGTACACCTAGGCCTTCATTTGGGGAGATTATTTTAGTTCAGAATTCTGCCAATAGCGCGGTGCTGTTGCTAATTATAGCTCATGTTTGAAAGAATACTACACCCAATCGAGTTATGTAGGATTTTCATACAGTTTTTATTGTTTTATTGTTTTGTTGTTGTTTTACATCAACAGGCTGGATGAAGCCCCAATGATGTTAACCTTATCATCTATGGTAAAAAAAAATACATTCAAGCATGGTCATAACATTAAAAACATTAAAAAACATACATCTTATAATCAGTTACTCCTGCCAGCGAAAAACAGAAGAAAACTTTCGACGAAGCGCATCACGGGAGAGATGAAAGTCGAAAACAGATGCAACTCTGTTGAATATTCTCTGCAGTCCGCAAATCGTACCGTATGCTCCATAATTTGTGCGACGTAGAGGCAGTCTTAGCATAAGGTTATTACGAAGTGGTCGGGGTTGAACATTCAGGTCAATTTACCTCAGGATAGCCTCGCAATCTGTCCTTCCTTGCAGGATATCGGCCACGGTTAGGGCTCTGCTTGTGTCTCTTCTAGTCCGGAGGAGTTCTAGGTCGATAAGTTGACAACGGCTTTCGTAACTGGGTAATCAAAACGGATCATTCCAAGGCATTCTACGCAACGCAAAACGAAGAAAGCAACGTTGAACAGATTCAATTCTCTCGGCACCGTTGTTGTAGTTTGGGTTCCAAACCTGTAGTTTGGGTTCCAAACCGCTGAACAATACTCAAGCGTCGATCGAACAAGCGAACAGTAGAGAGATTTTAGACAGTAGATATCAGTGAAGTTTTTAGCTATCCTAAAAATGAACCCTAAAGTGCTTGACGCCTTATCGACTACATATGCAATGTGTTGCTTGAATGAAAGCTGCGAAGCCAAGATCACACCCAAGTCTTTCACCTGATTCACGCGTTCGATTGTCGAGCCAAGCAGGTCATAGCTAAATATTATCGGTTGTTGTTTTCGTGAGAACGTAATAGCGGAGCTTTTGGCTGGGTTCACTACCATTCTGTTTAACCTGCACCAACTAGCGAATACATTCAGTTGACGTTGAAGAAAGTGTCAGTCAGCAATGGAGCAGATTCGTAGGAAGATTTTGAGGTCATCTGCATATGATAACCGACGAGCTTCGATGACCAGATGCACGTCGTTGAAGTACAGTATAAAAATCAACGGTCCCATGTGGCTTCCCTGAGGTATACCTGTTGTGGCGAAGAAGCTAGCTGATCTGCAATCTCCTATGGCAAACTTTAGTTGCCGACCGGTAAGATGTGATCGAAGCCAACTCAGATGATTACCGCATACACCGAGCCTGCCGAGTTTAGCAATCGCAATAGCATGGTTCAACTTGGTTAACGTCCGTTTGAACCCGATCCGACATGCTTTCGGTTATATACGATGTGAGACACCGCAGATTGGTGGTTGTAGAGCGGCCGACAGTAAACCCATATTGATCAGCACTCAAATACTGCGTGCAATGGGACAGCAACGGTTCCATAATCACTAGCTCGAATAGCTTCGAAACGGCACTTAACGATGTAACATGTGCGCAAATTTCCAGCAAGATGGAAAGCATATTTCCATGTTTCGGGTGTAGCTTATGTTCGCGCTGGATGCCTCGTTGGAAACTTGAAAAGCATTCACGACTGGCTCGCTGGTACATGTGATTCAGCCTCACATAATGTAGTTTCAGAGGAAGCGTGCGATGCTTCGAAAATCTTCTCAATGCTGCTCTCTTGATTGACTTCAACCTACGTAGCTCTCTCGTCTGCCAGGGAGACTGAGACACTTTGTGGTGAGTTCTTTGCGGGACGTGTCTGTCAATGACATATGCCAAGACATGTGAAAATGTTTGCGCTGCAGCCTCAACGTCATCTGGATCAAGGATGTTCTCCCATACCATGCTAGACAATACATCTATGATACTACGGTGGTCAGCTTTACGGAAGTCATAAGAAACCGTAGCAGGATAGTCGTCGAAATCACGCACGAGTTTGTCCTCAACAGTGACAATTAGAGGAGGCTGATATGGAACTAGCTTAGTTAGTGCACAAGGAGCCGAGGAAATTAATGGAGCCCTGTCCTGTGTGCTCAAGAAGCAGCGGTCCAAACTACGATCATTTTCGTTAACTACATGGTTAATTTGAGAAAGCGTCGGTGCGCTGTAGTTGTCGAAAAGGCTAATGACTCCTGCGTGAAATGTAGAGCTATCAGGATCTGGGTACAGGAATCCGCTATGAGATGGACTCCACGAAACGCCTGGCAGATTGAAGTCACCAAAAATGAATATCTCATCAACTGGAGTGGCACTTTCGATAACTGTGAAAACTGATCGACAGTGAGTATCGATGAGTTCATTGCCGCAGACTCGATCAGGTGGAATGTACAGAGCGCATAGAAATAGTGTGCGATCACCCAGATTGATGGCTGTCCAAACCTGCTCCACATAGTTCCATGAATTGTTCTCGCTGGCCTTTGCCTCCAACCTGCCACGGACAGCTACAAGGACACCTCCACCAGTAGATTTACGGCTGTTGTTAGGATTCAACATCAGAATTCATCCCACCGGCGTTTTGGTAGAAGATCACGACGTCCTGCTTGCGGCAAGGAATCCCTGGAAATCACAGATACATCAGGTAATAACTGACCATCATCAAGTCTCATTGGATACTCGCCATAGTGAGTGGGTTGCTTAAAAAATTAACGAAATCTGACATGAACAGATGCTGAAATGTAGTTAAATGATCTTACGGAAAACACATTTCAGCCAATACATCTTCCGAAAAAAATAATCTTACAGAGGCTGTGTACGAAAACCTTGACCTTGCTTGTTAACTGCTGTTTAAAAAACTATCATTAAAGTTCTCTTAAGAACTGTATACAGAGGACTCGTTAGCTTTGAACGTTCCAGATTTTAGATTTTCAAGATCGTAGATTTGATAACAAAGATCAAGGTTCGATTGGAAGGAATTTTTCGGGATTCAGAAGCTGGGTTAATACATTTTCCAGAGAAACTTTAAATTATGTGGCGATTTCATAATAATTCTGTGGAGGATTCCTAGAGAATATCGGGGAAAATTCTGAGATTAATTCCTAAAAAGTTTTGGGCAACATTCTAAGGACGTTTTGCAATTAATCAAATTCTGACAGTAAGTCTAAAATAGTCTGAAGCAAATACAGCGGAAGTCTTTACTCGTTGGCTCTGAAAAAGGCCGTTATGGAATCAACTTTTTTTTTCATGTGTTGGGTATTTTGATCACCGTGTTCAGTACATACTTAGATCTATTGTGATATATTCCCAGTTTTATTATTGCTTTATCAGCATGTCGTATCACCATTTAATGAAGCGACCAACATAGACTGACCGAAAGCATTTTCCCAGTCAGGTATTACATTTCGAATGAATTGCACTACTTGGCTGGGAACTGAATTCCAAATATCAAAGGGTTCTGTCTGCCCCTTATCCAGAAGAATACGCCTCTTATTGAAGATTGCTATACAAGAGCATAGCAGGTGTTCAGAGTCTTCTTTTTCTATGCCACATAATCGACACATGTCATCTTGAAGTTTTCCTATTAGCTTCAAGTGATATTTACATGGACAGTACATACTGAGATCTTTCTTTGATAGTTCAAGAATTTTGCTAGTCAGTGTTTGAAGTTTTCACTGTTCACTGAATAATTCACGTGTATTTCCGCAACCGTTGAACCCCCATGTGTCAGTAAACTAAACTGATTTCATTGTATTGGCGTTTTGCAGTGAAACTTTTCCAAGCTTTCGCCACCTACATTTCGAAGTGAGAACTACTAGAAGGAGGATAGTTTCCAAATTTTCCAAGTAAAACAGACGCTTTTTGGGGCAAATCGGTCCATAAAGAAAAACTAATAATTTCCCGTGGAAACTTTTGCTTGAATCGTGTAAGAAAACGTGTTTGAAAACTATTTGTTATTATTTCGGTATGAATCGGAGATGTTTTCATGGCAAATTATGCATAACAAGTTTGCACCCACAGGGAGAGGTTACCTCCTGCGCAGCGGCATTTTTCGGAAAATGGTGAATATGTGCGATTTCCACTAGGATGAAAGTGGAAATTAAGTGAATTTACTTAGGAAAGGTTGTATCATGCTGGTGGTAATGGAGATTGGTTTTATAGGACGCCAATATTCAATAAATGTCCATTTTGGCCTTTTGTTAGCAAACATATTGATGCTCACAATTTTCGACGGAAAACGCAACGGAACTTGCTTTACTCAACACGCACCATACTATAAAATGGTGCTAGATGGTCTTCAAAGTGATAGCAAGATGACAAATCATCTCTATTTTGAGTAATTGAGCAATTTACTTCTGTTTACATCATATTTACGATGCAGCATTGTTGGAGCCGCGAAATGAAATGAATATATCTTATGAAAGTTCAACTGGAAAAGTCAAAGTTGCACATCAGTCTGATCGTAAAAACGTTTTCTTCTGCAATTCGAATGTTATATTGGAAGAATTTTACACAGGCTTGATGAAAATTATGATTTAACGCTAATTTTCACGAATTTTATATGCAGTCTGTCAACATTATCATCATCATGCAGTGGCGACATCTGCGTTGAGCTTTTACGGCAATCTTCCAATCGGCGGGACAACGAATCATGGCACATAAAGAAACAGAGAAAAATAAATCTTGCTACATCGATGATCAAATACGTTCACACAAACGATTTACTACTGACGGTATCATCGAAAGAATCTTTATATTCGTGTGTACCATTCGGCATGGATTGTGTGCGTAAGTTTCTGTTCATGATACATCTGCGTATCGCAGTATAACACTGGTGAATGGTTCATATTCAGCAACATGTAATGACACTGAAT